TTAAAGGTTGAAAACGAAGTAACTTATGTTGAAATGAAACCTTCTTTCCAAGAAATAAATATATTCTTATTCGTATTACTGTAAAAACCCTGATTGATTAAATACAAGTTTACAATGACACTTACATGTGAGAAGTCGAGGCCTTCCACGCCGTGTATGAACAGCAACATTTCCTGTACGTTTGTAGAGTTGTCGAATTTTACACACAAACGTTTTCCCTACAAATAACGCTCTACACGTTTCCTTAATACTTGAACCGTAAATAAGCTCATGGTAAATGACCCTCCACCGAATATCGTCGGATAACCTCTTCATTTTGACTAAACTAGTGAAATCAACAAATAACAGCTACGGAACACTAAAAGCGATTTAAAGTGCGCGCGCTTTTCAGTGTTTGTCACGCTATTTATTTTTCAACTGTTTCGTTGTAATTGTGAACTGAGAAAGTTAAGTAAACCGAAACTAGTTTTTACAATAAATTCGTTTTGTAGTGCGATCACAAACCGTAGGAATTTATCCCACAGACATACATTAACCATGGTTTTTATACTTGGATAATTTTAGCCGCTTCAAGCTGTGCCAGGTTACCAAGCGGTCGAGTGAATGACGGTCGAGTGAAAGTTTAGCGTTCAAAAAAAATTCGAGAGTTCGCACTCATTTGAAATCAGGTGTAAATAACTTTATTTTCATTTTTTTAGTTCCAGGAATGCAGAATGGATTTAAGGGATGGCTAACAAATCAAAACAATAAGAAAGGCTACTTTGTCATCAACGGAAAGCTCTACATTATGTATCGCTGCGATCGTCGACACAGGGATGATTATGGTGAAGAGCCAACGGGCGCTAATCAATAATAAAAGATGCATCGTTTAAACTTCCAATCGAAAACATGTAGCATTAAAAAATAAGATTAAAAATACGTCTTCGTAAAACAAAAATGTTATTTTGTTATCACCCCTTATCAAGGAACGATAAGGTGATACAAATGACTTAACAAAATGACTTTACAAAAACTGCAAGTCACTATGGCRSSAATTTAGCACTTGGCGCGGKCTCGAATCCCAGCGAGGTCGGAAATAGAKTTATTTCGAATTTATTTCCAAGAGTCTTTYACCTGAKATAACTTCYTTGTTAGCACTATAACTTTCATTTATGTCTATATCATGGTAAAACAGATCTTGTTCCCTGACCTCGGCCTTATGACATAACAGCCGGCACTAATCGATCTTTGGAAATCTGGCCTTGACAAKTAATAAATAATTAAAAAAAGAACGAATGTGGATATTTTTATACTAAGATGAACTGAAACACTAAAAAAATATCCATGGCAACGCGTAGAAGCACAAACCTCATTCAAGTTGCGGGAGGCAAAACTTTCAATCTGGTCTCCCATGCTGGTGCCTTTTTTGGATAGCTTCTAAATGAAAAGTGCCTCATAAAAAGATTTGTGGCCTTTAATATTTCCAGTGCCCTCAGTTCTTCAGACTGTCTTTGTGATATTGGTGAAGTTTCCATATGCCTATATTTGTAGGCGATGTAGTCATGGCAGCTGATATTTACACGGAACGCGTAAAATCTTGAAAAAGTCATATYCCCTTGGTTTTCATTCAAAAGAATCAAGGCTTCTATGCTGTTGACACAGAAAGCTTTATTTTCCAARCTGATCTTGAGAACTCTTGAAACCTCCGATCTCTAATATGCAATACTCATGGTTCGGTAGTTGAAGGACTATTTAAAGAGCGGTAAAAAATTACATATCATAAAACTATGGAAATTTTATTGAATTTCAAAGAATTTAACAATTTATCATCTAAAAATATGATTGTATAAGATATAAAAACGGATGAGCAGCACTATTTTCGCTTGTGTTCAAAGATCAGCTCAAGGACGCAGCACAAGGTAAGCAAAAGCTTTAGAAATCAAATCGCTCTAGTTCGTTGCTCTTAAATAAGCGAATTGCTTTGATTTGCGATGGGCTAATATGCACTATATATATATTGCTCTTTGTGGGTGGCTATTTCGTTTTTAATTTTTCTCGTTTGTAATATTTAGATTAATTAAATTTAAAGAAAACTATTCCGCTTAATAGACCTAATCGGCTTCAACCCAATTCAAACCAACCGGGAGTAAGTTTCATTATTCGTTGTATTTAGAATTCTTAGAAACAAAAGCTCTTTTTCCCACAGGATTTGAATTGGGTGGCAACGTACATAGCAACGCCGTTAGGCGATTTAGGTCTATCGATGCAGCTCGTGTTGCATTAAGGCATTTTCAGCAAAAAAATCAATGGTCGATTGTACAAAGAGTAAATAGCGCAATCCACCAGGACAAAATATTATTTTCAGGAGATAAATTTCATATCAAATACAAGAAGGAAATTTTGCATCAGTTTGTTGACTCTTTGGTGCGTTGTGTTACTGAATTTTTATCAGAAAAGATAGAAATTATTATATATGAGTCAATTTCTTGCATTTTTGTCTTTTCGTGCAGAGATGAAAACCCTGTTTGCAATTGCTATCTTGTTTATCTCCTTTGGACTTCTTGTCCAAGCGGAAACAAACCAAGAGGCGAAGCGGCTGTCAATCAAACCTCCAAGACCAATACCATCTGCCAGGGTCTATCTTCCTGGAATTACCATCGAAGCTGGAAAGTTCAAATCCTACTACAGCTACTGCTATTGCTTTAGATTTAAGTGCCATGGTACGTTTTCAAGGTTTTTAATCGTTGCCAAGATAATTTTGATTAAAATACTAAATGTGGACTTCATGCAACTATGAAAATTCTCTGATATCACGATTTTATGAAAAATTTCTTTCTAAAACAGAATCATGCGAGTTTCAATAACTTTGTTATTTCTTCTGTTGCAGTTCCTGGAATGCACAATGGATTCAAGGGATGGCTAATAAACCAAAACAATAGGAAAGGATACTTTGTCATCAATGGAAGGCTCTACATTATATATCGCTGCGATCACCGACGAATAGGCGGCGGCAAATAAAGTGAAATTGATCTGTTATGTTTGTCTTTCAAACCAATTGCGTTAAAACTTAAACAAAACATACCATGTGTTTCTCATTTCTGTTTGTTTTCTAATCATGTTTAATATAATTTCATTTTCAATACTTCTGTAGTACACACGATGCCTTCTTTTTCTTAATCGTTCTTTCATTGTCAATAAGTTAGGAGGAGTGGACGGTTTCCTGGGAGAAATATATTGTTCTTTTGTCCCAGCCAGCTGTAAGTCATAACCGGTTGCCAGCGAGAAATTCAGGAAAAAAGAACTCTCCAGGGAAGGAGTTCTTCCTAATATTTTTTGCCAGGAAAATAAAAACTTCACAACTAAAAAAATATAAGCAATTTTTGACCATAAAAACGTTATACAAGCCTTTTTAAATGTTTGCCAGGAACAAACTAACTTTAAAGAAGGAAGGGCGCCATAATTGATTGTGAGATTGTCAACAATGTAGCTCAAAATCCCTTTCCCAGGAAAGATTCATGCAAGAACAGTTATTGAGAAGAACAGACTCCGTCGGCTCCTCCTGATAAGTTATTGAAGTACGAAAATGTTTTCCCTGTAATGCAGCTGATGTCCCTTCAAACTAAGTGTTTTTTTTTTACTTTTCTGGAAGCTTCGTGTAATATTCATTAATTTTAAACAGTAGTTTTTGAGATTTGAAAAAAATAATGGACTCTTTATTTATTCTAAATCATAACATTTACCTACTGTTCGTTCTGACAGATATTTGACAATGTTTGACAGAGGTGTAAATTCTGGTCCTTCGCTCATTATTCTTCATTTCTTAACTAAWAGAAATTGTCACACTTCTATAGAGAACTATATGTAATTTAAATAACTTTCAATATTGTGCTTAGTGCTCTTGTTTTTGTATTATGCAATTCAAGTACAGTAACTCTTTCAATTGCTTTATCCGCTTACTGTGACTTTCCTTTTGCTCTTAGTTCCACTCAAATGAAGTGCTGTCTACGTAAATGGAAATCCTGAACAATAGCGATTTTGAAATAGCGGAAACACTTTGCATATATTTGAAAAGCGATGTTAACATTGAGAAAAACAAGCAAGCATGTTACTTATTATAATGTTGTACTTCGAAGAAACCTTGCTTATCGATAGATCGTGCTTTGATTTTTAATCAGAGGGAATTGAAGAACCGATTTTCGCACATCAAATACACCTGTTCTATTGATGCTCTTCGGTAAAGCACTCTGGCTAAGTTAACATACCGTACTGTGACTTCATTTAAAGAAGGTCTCTATCATCAGGATATTTGTTTTAAATCGTATTAGAAAGTGTCCCTATATTTTGTGTCAACTTGGAAGTTGGAACTTCATATCATTTTCGATTTAAAGATAGTTCATTATTACTGATTCCATTTTGCATAAGGTAGCGGAACTCTCGTCCGAAGAACTAGAGGTGAACTGCAGTCAAGCTGAACAGATCAACCAAGCATAAATCATGCATATCTTTGAACACGAGGATTATATAATTATATGTTTGAACGGAGTTTTGGCTCTTGCCGCAGCAGTAACTAATTTTCTTTTCGTCCTTGCAATCCTTAAGACGCCGTCCTTACACACACCATCCAACATTCTTCTCTGCTTCTTGGCTTTCTCGGATTTTGGCGTTGGTTTTGTCGTTCAGCCGTTGTTCATTACAAGCGCAGTTGTTTCTCAAGAGCGGATGCATTTCTTTCTTAACTCGATGACTATTGCAAGTATTTTGCTTTATGGAGCATCAGTCATGACCATGACTGCGATTGCAGTTGACCGATACCTTGCTCTGGTGCTACATCTACAGTACCGAACCATTGTGACTGTAAGTCGAACTATAAAATTCAAACTGATTCTATTCTTTTTAGCCCTATGTGGGTATTTCTTACGCTTTGCGTTACCGACAAACCTTAGATACATATTTATAATTATCGGCATACTCTTCTGTATTTTTATCTCATCTTTTTGCCATATAAAAATTCAAAGAATTGTGAGACGGCATCGCAGGCAAATAATTGACCAAGCGATGGCAATAGCTAACCAGTTTCCTTCGTCCTTTGTGCCGCCTTTAAGACAAGGCAAGTCCATCACCACAATGTACTATATCAATGGACTCTTCGTTATTTGTTTACTGCCTTATCTCATTGGAGTAGCTTTATTATTGCAGTATGGAGAGCTTCCAAGCGTCATAATTTACAGATATTGTGCGTGGAATATTCTAACATTGAAATCTGCGCTCAACCCCTTTTTGTACTGTTGGCGTATGCGGGACACAAAATGTGCTATCAAGACATTAGTGATATCTGCCATCAAGAAGATGTACTGTTGCAAGCGTTAAATATAGATTAATATGAACTATACTCTCCGTACACCGTGTACTTTGGACAGTGTGTGCCATACGCGATATGTCACAAACTACCAACAAATAGTTACTATATTTAATATCAACATGATCGATGTGTATTTTGAAAACGATTTCTAAAATATTTAGGATACTACGCGCGATGTGATTGGTCGAAAACCATGTTTGATTACAGTATCAAAACATGGTCGCGCGCGTCAAAAATTTCTTTTTTCCCGCCGTTTGCATTTGTTGTTGTTATCATAACAATGAACGAAGAAATGCCAATTTATGATGTCCTCTGGGATGATATCCCAGAAGAAGAGCTAACAAACGCTTTAATAGAAGCTACAGAAGCTGCAGAATCTACTTCGAGATTTGCAGAGATAGACGACAGCCACATAGACAAAATTCTTGACAACGCTCTGCGTCGTGGCTTCCTACGCTTTTCTCGTGCTCTCCCTACATCCCGCGTGTTTTGATCAGATTATCAAACACGGAATTTCGTCTTTAGTTTATTCCTTAATTTTTAAACAGCATCTTCTCTTGGAGGACAACCACAACTGTTCGTAGAATTAAAACCTTTGAGAAAAGTGAAGAGAACAACTAAGAATCATATAAAAGATTTTGACTGAACTCAAGATTTTGCATTTTAAATGATATGATAATAAGGAAATATTCAGTATCTCTAAATTAAAGATGGCATATGATTCGAGGGCATTGCTACTGCTTCCACGAAAGAATCTTGTAAATTTACTTCCGGTCATATTATAATATAAAAATTAGGTAACACCTAATAGCGGAGCTCCAATAGCAATATAGAAGATGAAAATGATTATCTAGTACTGCTATTTCAAAGGTAGATGCTTTGTTCTAAGGAATGTGAGCTACAACAGTTTTGTTGACATGCGAACAAATATTATAAAGAGTATGTTTATGAGAATGTAGTTCGTACTAATATTGACTTCGGTAGACTTTGTTCCGCTGGATGAAGTTTAAAATTATAATCTATAAAGGTCAATTGATTAAAAGTAAACTGAAAGCTTCTCGGCAAAAAGTAGTCTACATAAGCTTACAATAATCAACATTGTTTCAATAATCGATGTTTGAACCCGGACTACTCGAACTTCACATAATCACAGAAAACTGTATACAAAAATATATTTTTTACCTTCATTATCGAACTTTCGATAAATTATTATCGTTCAAAGGTCATCTTCAACAGAGCCATACTTGTTTCAAGCATAGGTTTCATCAATTTATTAAGTCATTCAAGAGTGTAGATTCTTTGTTTTTAATCTCTCTCAATCTAACTGCTAGCATGGTCTTTGTTTCGAAATGTCCACACTTTTAGTCGTCAAAAGAACTTCGCATAGATCCCTGCTTTTTCCCATATTGGTCCATATTATTGAAGTATTTCCAATAAAGTATCATCTCCTTTTGTTGTCGAAATATCAAAGTAAAATCCTTCTTTCTAATATCACTTTTAAGATGGGCCTAAATTGCTTTTCATCTTCGCAAATCGATTTCMCGGATGTGCRGACGCGTCGAAGTTATGACAAAATTGGCGGAAATATTTCTGTGCTGTTATTTCGCTCTTCAGTTGATTTTTTCCTTGTTATTAATTGTTCTAATATTATCAATATGTAATATAAATGTTTAAGGAAAAAAATTGGATTTTTCAACAAATACTTGGCGCTTTGTTTCCTTTTCGAGCAAAGTATGGATTTCCTGTGGTGGTACACGGAATCCAGGACGGAAGGACGGAAGGACGGAAGGACGGAAGGACAGAAGGACGGAAGGACGGACGGAAGGAAACGTGCGTACGCGCGGGAACCCTGTGTCGGTCCATGGAAAATCGACTCGATGATATACCATTTTTTCTTAGCTATGGTGCTCCGCTCGCGCGGGCCTTCGGCTTGCGCGGGAGCTCCGCTATTGTGCACTTATATCAAATAAATATTATATTTGGTGCAAATAGACTATTTAGGGACTGCGAAATATTTACCAGGAGGGGGGTTGAGAATCGAAAAAGGGGGAGTATCTAATTATATGTGATTAAAGAGGGCGCCGTCTAAAATTAAGTAGAACTTTAATTGAAAACTGAAACATGGTGTCAGATTCGAAAATTTCTCTATTTATTCACATTCAGTAATAAATAAATAAATTCACGAGGGGGAAGGCGGGGGGGGGGGAGAACGTAATTTATCTCGTTTGCGGGGGAGGGGGGGTAGTATTTAATTTTGTTGATTTTTTGGCTCATTACTCAACCGCCACCTCCTCATAAATATTGCGCAGTCCCTTATGTTTTGATAGTCGAATATATTGATCCAATTAGCTCGCGGTCATCATGCAGAGTAAAATCACTGTGTATACGGTATTGCAGTCCTATGATTTTGCGCAAAACGCCCTTGTATAGTTTCTCAAATTGTTATCTGAAAACTGACCAATCAGAGGCCCTTAAGTAGGTGCAGATAATAGAACATACTGTGCCTAGTAATATCACTTGGACTTCTTCTTTTGGTCTTCAACAAACCACCCGCCTCCCTCCCCTGGTTATCCTCTGTGTTGTAGTTTTATCTGCCCACACCTTTGCTGGTCAGTTAGTATTTTTGAGACAGGATAAATTGTTAACAATTACAGGATCGTTATTTTGAAATTAAAAGTGGCTTAGCCATTAATTTAACTACATTTTACTGTCCAGCAAACTAAATTTCCAACTATTCCGGCCATTTCGGATATTAAAACATAAAAATCATTTTCCACCAGCCAGTATTCTAATAGAAACACAACTGATGTAAGAATGAAATGAGAGAGTACAAACGCACATAAAAATGTATTCTATTTTTTATATATGATATCAAAGAGGCAAGATTTTGCTGTAACTTCGAGTTTCGTGCTACGCACTCATCAGACAGTATTTAATTATTTAATTATTTTATTCTATTTTTTTATATGCATTTTTTCCTCGATATTCTTTCATGATGGACGCCTTTTTTTTTACTGTCGAAAAGACAACAAGAGTGCAAGCAAAAGAGTTAAAACAAAAGAGTTTTACTCTATTAACTAGGACAGGCTATCTCTTGTAAGCAGGTTTTTATTCAATCTTACCTTCTTCTGGCTTATGAGGACCAACCTGGAAAATATAACAAAACAATTTATACATATTTTGCTTTGCATCTGTGATGTGGAAAATACCAAATTAGACACAGCCCTATAGGTTTCAATAAATGTTTTCCTTTCAGAGAACAACGTGGATTGAAATAACCCATTYCATAAAAAAATATGTATTCTTGATAAATTTATCATTATGCAAAGCTGATTTAATTATACACAAACGTATTTCAAATTGTGTCCAATGTGGACAAAATAAAGGCTGAAACTTCTTTTAATCTTATTTTGCGTATAAAGGCTCGGGCTCGCAGGCTCGCACATTAGTTACGCTCTCTTTGTTTGACTGTATGATTGTTACACTGCATTTCAGCTTGCTATGTTTATTCAATGAAACCGAGGCTCAATGAAATCTTTTATTGCATGTTTACCAACTTAATTTCATACAGAGGGTTGTCAGTTTATATAATAAAAGGGCGCCTAACATTCGACAAAATTGACTGTACAGACCTGTCTATTTTTTGATATAAAAACACTCTTTCTTCTCCGCAAAAATATCCATTTTGTAGAGAGTTTTATGTATTTTTTTTTATTTATAAACGAGGCTAGGCATTTAAAAAGGTATAAAAAAAAACATTTTAATTTGGAAGGTAATTTATAGATCACATCCAGAAGACTATAGCAGAAATATGATAAACCAATGATAATAGGCCTTATTGCCAATACGGCCGCCATCTTGAATTCACGGTTAACGTACATGCAGAAAACACAATAACAATTCTTAGTCCTATAAAACACCGACAACCCTGAACTAAACTTGTAAGATCAATTTCTTTAAAGGTCTTTACTTTAAGATCAAATTCTCCTAACAACATACGATAGCCTTAGGTCTTAACTAAATTGTAAAAGTGATAATAGTTGGAAGTAGCAAATCAGTAGAACTGGAACATGATTTGTAAGCGTCCAAATGACCTTGACAATTTATAAATAAAAAAAGAATACAAAACCGATAATGATGGGAATTTTGTGTTGCTAAGAGAGATTGAAGAGTGAACAAATATCCAAGGGAACGATACGGTTCTTGATTTTGCACTTGAAGTTTTCATGTACATGCTATGTTGCTCTCTGAAAGTATTTTCTACCTGGCATCTTTATCATCTTTTTTGCCGCATTTTTTTATGTAGAATATTTATTTAACTTTCTCAACGCTGTGGATTCTAGTCGGCACAACAAWTGTGTTGATTGTGACATGGGAATTTAACTCCAAGTAAATAATTGAACTATTTACGAATTAAATACAGTCATTCACAACGTCTTCAGTTTGCATCGCTATACAAGGATCTCATACAAACAGACCGCTATCATTGGAAACCATTTTTGTTCCTTTATAAATGCCTGACAACGTAAGTTCAAAACATGGTGATTAGCAGCAGCTATTTGCARTTAATTACCGCTACTTATAAAAAATGAAGCTTTTTTTCTATAAAAGCCATACGCTGCACAGTTTTTCCAGTATCCATCATTAATTTTTCTAGGTCTTTGCACAACGCAAAAATGGTAAGTGAGCATTCAATCTTGATATGAACGTCGATTTCCACTCGAGAAAGCTAGATTCTGTTAATCTGGTACAGAGAATATATACTAGTGTTAAATATACAGTAAGATGTCAATTCATGAATCCCTGGTATTCACATTTAGTGAGAAAGGAAATGAAATGTGGTTGGTACTAATCCCCTACATCGCAGCGTATGAGAGACAGCTCCACGCACTCTCAAGTCAAAATTCTGTTTCAGAAACGTTTTAATTTCACTAACACTTAAGCATGCTTCCAGTTAGAGGCTTCTTTTACATCGACTGATTACCGAGCACATATTGATTCGTTTTTAATAAGGCACATAAAGACGGGATAGAACGAACGAAACTCAAATGACCGACTAAGAATAGACCAGGGTCCACAAAGTATGACAGACCGGGTAGCGGTTACCAGAGTCTCAAGGAGGTCGTGCGAGAAAGCATGTTAAATTTGCCATAATTGTTCAATAGCGATAATTAAATATCCTAATAAGCGCTTTTATGTCCAGGGTACATGCTAGTTTAAAAAATAGATATATAAATAAACGACAGTTGACAAAGCAGTGTGAGGACTGAAATTTTGAGGAGAATTCATTTTCCAAGGGGCAACTCACACCACATAATGCCCAAGATTTCATGCTATTGCTTTTATTATTCAACAGCAAAAATAAATGATAAAAAATAAATAATCATAAATAAAAGAATAAAAATAATAATAAAAAACAATCCGCGACAATTAAGAAGCGTTTTTTTTACTGCACTATATTTTGCCAATGATCTTTTAGATTGCATGTTTTTTTCCCGTACACAGATGAAAAGCTTAGCAGCAATTGTCTGTCTGTTTCTCTGCTCTGGACTTCTTGCTGTAGCAGCGGAGACAAAGCAAGAAGCAAAGCGGTTGTCTATCATTCGACCGTTTCCAACTGCCAGTGTTTATCTTCCTGGCATCAGCATCGAAGCTGGAAAATTCAAAGAAAATTACACATACTGCTATTGCTTCAAGTTCAAGTGTCGTGGTATGCTTCCTTTGAATAGTATTTGAAATGTAGAATTTTGTGTTTTAACTTATTTTTGAATTAGTTAATGTGAAGAACTTTGTTTTTATTATTGTTTTTTCTTAGTTCCAGGGATGCAAAATGGATTCAAGGGATGGCTAACAAATCAAAACAATAGGAAAGGATACTTTGTCATCAACGGAAAGCTCTACATTATATATCGCTGCGATCGTCGACGCAGGGRTGATTATGGTCGTGGGCGCTAACCAATAATAAAAAAAGGGTCGTTTAAACTTCCAATAAAAACATGTAGCATTAGAATTTAAAACAAAAACGTTTCCATAATACAAAAGTTACTTTTTTTATAATCGCTCATCAGGGAACGATAAGCTGACATAAATAACTTTATAAAACGACTTTACAAAAACCGTCTGCAAGTCGCTATGGCGCAAGAGTCTTTCACCTGAAATAACCTCCTTCTTAGCACTATAACTTTCGTTTATTTCTATATCGTAGTGAAACAGATCCTATTCCCTGACCTCAGCCTTATGACGTAACAGCCGGCACTAAATTGATCTTTGGTAATCTGGCCTTGACAAAAAAGATAATTAATGATAAAAAGNTGTTGTCGTTAGAGAAATATCGTATCCCAAGTCTTTCTGTAGCGGATTTCAGACCCTACCAAGGTAAATTTGGCCAGTTTTAACACCCAAATAAGGCAATCGATGCAATATTTTACCGGTAGGGACGAGTGGCTTGGCACTTATAAGATATCTATAAAATCAGGGTTGCTGGACATCCCTGTCGATTTGAATCAACATATCCCTTGATGCATGTTCGGTCGTGCATCTGAGAAAACTGTGTTTGCTGTAGTGAGTCCCAAATAGGGAGCTTTTGGTCGCTCTGAAAACAATTTAACAAAGCAAAAGTGCAACTGTTCAAGAGACTGAGGATGGAGATGATTCTCCACAAAACCCATTTTCTGCTTGAGAAGGCCATTTTCGCACTGAAATTTAAGTTATAAATAGGAATTCCCCACTGCTGTCCAGGCCAGTAAAAAACGCATGTTTAGCGTATACACATTAGCACAGTTGTCTTTTTCGATGGAAAAGGTGTATTGGTGACTGCATTTCCTATTCTATAATTGAGTCTGCTAGTTGTTTTTCTCTTTTGAGCAGTGTTTGAATTCGAATCTAGCTCATGATTTACGAAACTTGCAATTTTTCAAAGCATGGTTCGAATTCGAACCATAATGCTAAAGTGCTGGCATCAGAGGGTTAAAGACGGAAAGAAAAGTAATGGACGAAGTTTTAAAGACGAGAAAACTGAAAAATGCCCGAGGAATCGCAGGTTCAGTTGATGACAGAGCTTTACAGAGCCGATGAAAAAGACATAAAGAAAGTCTGCGAAAAGCTGAAAGTTAGTACGGAAGGAATCAAATCTAAGTTTTGTTTAATCAACCGAATCGCCGAGGAATTGCAGAAGGAATTGACGAAAGTGTCAGACGACGATAAACCAAAATTTCTCCATGACTTGCTCGAACTCGTTGCTGATATTCCGCCACCATTAGAGAAAACAGCCGCCAGCAAAGTCAAGAAAGAAGAAAAAGTTAAAGAAGAAGGTGTGCTTGTGGATACAACGAGTGTTCTACGCCGTCAATTCAAGATAATCGGCCAGATCGGTGTAGCTGAACAGAAAGATAAGTTGACTTATAATTCACTGGTAAGACAAATTAAATCTGGGTTGGGACAGGGATACCAAGATGTTGAAATAGTATATGCAGTAGTTCGTGCCATTGTACCTGGTCTAGTCTTGAGGAGTTACCTAGAATCATTTGAGAATCTTCCCCTGGAGCGACTAAAAAAAAATCCTACGCAGTCATTATGGTGTAAAAAGCAGTTCAGAGCTCTACCAGAGTTTAGTATCTCATTGTCAAAACCCCAAGGAAACACCTCAGGCATTCCTTATGCGAGCCCTTATTTTAGGCAAAAAATCCATTTTACTAGTGAGGAGAGTGAGGATGGTCTGAAGTATGAGACTGAGCACAGCTCTTCTTAAGAACTGTTGAAACAGGATTGCTTGATGAGAATGTTCGTGTAAGTAGGATAAGGCCTTTCTTGAGTGACCATACCATACAAGATGAAGACCTGATTCATCAATTCAACATAGCAGTGACCACTGAGGGGTCCCAACCGAAAAAGAAACCAGCCAAGTGTGTACTCTTGGTACTGAGAGGGGAAATCAGGTGTCTAATAAACCCAAGGGGGACCACACCCAACCCACTAGTTCTGACGTGACAACAATCATAGAGGGTCTCAAGGCAGAGGTAGCTGCACTAAGAATGGAAGCTAAGTCAAACCCGCAGGCTACCCCCTCCCAAGGACAGGGTTCCCCGGCCACGCCTAGCAACAACAGTAAGGGGACGGGTGGAGTTACCAGTACCCGGGTTTCAAAATGCCCAGCATGTAAGGAAAGTAATCAAGCATGGTGCGCGCATTGTTTCAAATGCGGAAGTGATGAACACTTCGCAACAGGATGCCGTCAGTCCCAGCGCCATTTAACCCTATTCAGACTGGGGGGGAGTTTTTGAGCCCCCCCCCCCAATAACTTTTGAACCAAGACATCTAAAGCTCTGAAACTTTCGGACTTTTCCTAAAATTCATCTGAGCAGATTTTGATGTATTTTTTGTTGTTGTTGATAACGTCATCCATGTCGCCATGGCAACCAGTTTTTTTACACCTAGGTTTTCAAAAATTTAAAATATGCTTAATTTTTCATTTTTAAAGCTTATATTTTGTTTTATTATGCATCTTGTACCTATTTGAGCTTGCTTCCATTGCTGACTTTACAATACCATAATACTTTTTTCGACAACAAAAACTTTGGGGGGAGGGGTGGGTAGTTTTCAGTCATTTTTTTCACATGGAAGAAAATTTCATTAAAATCATCAGTAGCACTTCAGAAGTCACTTTTTTATTCATTAAATGTTAGTTTGAGAAGTATTTAAGACATTTTGAGCTGTTTGCCTCAATGCTCAGTTTTTTAATAGAATTTTAGAAAATTCAAGATGGCGGTCCAAGATGGCGGATCCTAAAATGGCGGATATTCTTCTCAAAATTGCTTGTTCCAAATTGTTTAGCTTCAAAAACTCCTCAAATTGTAAATATTACCATAAAATAATGATATAGACAAAAAAAGTGAGATTTGGAGTCAAATTATTCAAAGATGACAAAGACACTATAGGAAATGACGTCATAACTGTTACCATGGATATCAAACGAACCACAACACCACAGAAGAGCAGTAACACCTAAATATGATATTTAACTGGTTATCTAGATATAGATATATAATTGATAAAAAATAACTGATATCTATGACGTCATTGTGACGTCATATAGAACAGGGGTCAATTAAAAAATACAAAAATATTATTTTCAAGTCATTTCAATAATAAACAGATGATATTGCAGCATTCTCTATGGAATTATAGGCAATTTATTAAAATGAATTATAAATCGTYAAAATGGTGTAAATGACGTCATTATGACGTCACAATTGGTTCCCACGGGTCAAGACTGGGTGTGGTGGTTCATTTTACGTGGGCAACCATTTTGTGAAAATTTCATGCTCATAGATCTATTGGTTCCGAAGATATTGAGGGGGGGGGCGGAATGAGCCTCCCCCCCCCAGTCACAGATTGAAAAAAAAGCCCCGACAAATCTGCGTATTTATGCAAATATTATTCAAAAAGCAATGAAGTGCGACATTCGAGCTTGTGTGACTTGCCAAAGTCGCATAAATTATTTCAAGCGAAGACCAGCATTCTGTGTATACCAGAAATAACAAAATATTTTCTACCAAGATTGGAACGCAAAGCCTATAAAAATTACAGCAACTATTAGATGAAAGATTGAGCTATTAGTACAAGGAGAATAAAAGAAATCTCTGGAGCCGTTTCGAAGAAAATGGACTTTTCGTGATTTTTTAACAGGCCGTACAATTTTAGCTATTATTCATCTCCAGTAAAAATATTGTAATTCTTTTGACTTGAAAGGTGTAGAACTGAACTTTACACACACTAATTTTAACAAATTGATGTACAACATATCGTAAGATCATGGCAATCGGTTGTATATTTATTTATATACGACTGTTTATTCTATGTAGGTCATATTTTGGGCTCACTTTTGAGCCGCGTTCATATATTTTTTTTCTACCCGAGATTTTCCAACAAAATTCATAGCCCTTGTGTAAATTTATGAGATATACAAATTCTGAAAATTTCAAGATGATCCGACTGTTAGTTTTAGAGTAAATAGTCGAAAACTGGAATTATCACTGTTTGAAAATACGCTGTATATTTAAAACCAGCCTTTAAATTACTAAATACTGAAAACTGTCAAAAACTGCAATAATTACTGCATGTTTTATTAAAATTATAGCACGTTTTACTAAATACTTTTGCGAAGCGAGCGAGTTAAAAAAGTACAAAATTTGCGTTTCATTAGTTGTGATCCACCTTAAATTGAAGAACGGCGATTTTCGCACATCAAATACACCTGTTCTATAGATGCTATACGGTAAAGCAGGTGGCTAAGTTAACATACCGTACTCTGCTTTCATGTAAAGAACGGCTCTCCTTTCATCACGGTATTATTTTTAAATCGTAGTAGAAAGCGTCCCTATATTTTTTGTCACCTTGGAAGTTGTGACTTCATCATTTTCCATTTAAAGATAGTTCATTAGAACGGATTCCATTAGTATAGGGTAGTGGAACTCTCGTCCGAAGCACTAGAGGTGAACTGCAGTCTAGCTGAATAGATCAACCAAGTATAAATCATGCTTATTTTTGAACACGAGGACTATATAATTATATTTTTGAGTTTTGGCTCTTATCGCAGCAGTAACTAATTTACTTTTCGTCCCTGCAATCCTTAAGACGCCGTCCTTAAACACACCATCCAGCATTCTTCTCTGTTTCTTGGCTCTCTCGGATTTTGGCGTTGGTTTTGTCGTTCAGCCGTTGTTCATTACAAGCGCAGTTGTTTCTCAAGAGCRGATGCATTTCTTTCTTAACTCAATGACTATTGCAAGTATTTTGCTTTAGCATCAGTCATGACCATGAATGCGATTGCAGTTGACCGATACCTTGCTCTGGTGCTACATCTACTGTACCGAACCATTGTGACTGTCGAACTATAAAATTCAAACTGGTTCTATGTTTTTAGCCCTATATGGGTATTTCTTACGCTTTGCGTTACCGACAAACCTTAGATACATATTTATAATTATCGGCATACTCTTCTGTATTTTTATCTCATTTTTTTGCCATATAAAAATTCAAAGAATTGTGAGACGGCATCGCAGGCAAATAATTGACCAAGCGATGGCAATAGCTAACCAGTTTCCTTCGTCCTTTGTGCCGCCTTTAAGACAAGGCAAGTCCATCACCACAATGTACTATATCAATGGACTCTTCGTTATTTGTTTACTGCCTTATCTCATTGGAGTAGCTTTATTATTGCAGTATGGAGAGCTTCCAAGCGTCATAATTTACAGATATTGTGCGTGGAATATTCTAACATTGAAATCTGCGCTCAAYCCATTTTTGTACTGTTGGCGTATGCGAGACATAAATTGTGCTATCAAGACATTAGTGATGTCTGTCATCAAGAAGATGTACTGTGGCGAGCGTTAAATATAGATTACTACACTCTCCGTACACCGTGTACTTTGAACCAACAAATAGCTACTGTGTTCAATGTCAACTTGATCGATGTGCATTTTGAAAACGAATTTTTAAACAACGTTTTCTCGTGGAAGACAATCACGTTGATTAAAACCTTTGACAAAACTGAAGAATTATGTGAAGTTCAATTGAATTCGATCAATTAGGACCAAGAATCACACGGAGGATTTTGAACTCAAGAATTTGCATAAAATATGATATTAAGGAAAAATCAGTATTCTTTAAGATGGCATATGATTGAAAACAATTTTTTTATCATAATTTCTATATCTATTTWTTTCAGCCTAGTGTTGGCTAGTCACACTAGTCACACCACTCCTGGATCCTTTCTTGAGATATTAGTTTCAGTTAAAGTATATAATATATAGTCGACAAAACCCTTCGGTATACATGGTAAATTAAATGATATTGCACAGTTGCCCCTGTACACTTGAAATCACCTATGCTTCTCTGCCTGATACAGTGCAGACAGTGTTGTCGACAGACCAACAGAAAACCTTAAACTACAAAACTGCAACGTTGAAAGCGGGAGAAGGGGCTTAAAAGGAAATTAACAAACAGAAAATGGACGTATTTTATATTCGAGTTTGTGCTCTATGCAGCCAAACTGAAACATATATACATTCAACAGATAAAAAACGGGCTTAAGGCTATCAAACCATGTCACTTAGTATTAATGCTATACGAATTGAAATGCATGCAGGAAATCAAGCGGCTTAATTTCATCATTTACACTCTTGTGATGAGAACGTAGCCATGACCTTGGCTGTTGTAGCAGCATGTATTGGCTTGGTCTGATCCATTATTATATGACCCTCCCCCTCCTCCAGAAGAATCTTCGTTGTTGTCACCACAAGCCCCTCCTGAATATCCCCCACCACCACCCGCTCCACCACCCCATCCATAGGGCCCTCCACCTCCTCCAAATCCACCAGGGACATCCTTAACATAGGATCTTCCTCCAACACCTCCCTGTAGGAATCCTTTTCCACCCTCTCCACCCGTTCCAAAAGATCCGTTAAAGTTCCTACCACTACGACCAGATGAGTAAAAGCCACCTCCGCCTCCACCTAAACAAATAAATGTATTCATTATAATACTTATTATGTACTTATTATGTACTTATTATGAAATATGATCGCGAGATTTTTATGGGCATTTGTAAAACTACAAGCTGCAGGCGAGCAGTTTTTAACGCCCATAAATGTTGGACGCGAATATTTTACGGAGTGTCTAAACGTCAGGCAGACTGACGTTTAGTCCAAGAACTAAACGTCAGGCAGTCTAATTTTTTCTTAAAAAATCGTCGGAATAACACTAATTTTATTTATTGCAACAAGGGAAATGCAATTAAGACCAAAATAATACTGTTCAACAAGTTTCTAACACAAGCACGGCACTTTGAGATTTCAGTTTCGACTGCCTGACGTTTAGTCCCAGAACTAAACATCAGGCAGTCGATTTTGTTGTAAAAAATCAACGGAATAGCCTTAAATTCAACAAGGGAAATGCACTAAAGACCGAAATAATGTTATTCGACAAGTTTGTATAGTCACAAGCACGGCACTTTGAGATTTTTCACTCCAAATATGTTATATTGCTTATCAAATTCCAATATAAGATTAAGCATATTTTGCTAAACAACTTCAAGATAAAATATTATTTTTATGATAAAATAGA